ATTCCTGGATATAAATGGTTTTGTCTTGCTGCCAGTTGACATCCTTAGGGCCACCATCTCAGGACACCAGCTATTGATGCAAATCCTTCCCGCTGTGAGATTAACCTTATTATTTATAACAGATGTAGAATGTTGCAATGGGCTGACATATTTTCATTTTTATCCAAAGATTGATTTTTTTCCCTTGAATCTGTTTTGCATTGCTCATATACATGAAACAGCAGTTAAAGCCAGCACAACATAAAGCTGCGGATGAGATGAAAAAATAAGCAAAGGGGTATGCAAACTGAGGAATACATTCCATCAACTATGCACGTCCATTGTAAATAGAAGTGAATTTTAATCATCATCATTTTAGAAGGAAATTTCTCTGTCACTTAGACCCAGAACCATTTGATTTAGTCACCACAAGCAGGATTGACACTGACACACTCGCTAGTCTTATCTCACTTGAAAGGTTACATTTTACCATCAGGTTTTGCAAATGAAATTTTCCTGTCAGTTTAGGAAACATCAGTCTATAATATCAGAAATGAACGGTCTTACACCTGTCCATGTCTGACAAAAATAATTAAAAAGACATTGTTCCTTATGTTAGCCAGACACTAGTTAAAATATATAAACTTTCCTTTGAGAGATTGGAACATACTTGGTTGAAGAAATGTGATTCCTCCTATCCTTATAAATTTCCTTATTTTGGAGGTGGGGGTAAACAGGATGAACTGGTGCTATTGTACAGGATGGGCACACTTGAAGAGTTGGCACACTTCAGAGGGAGACACTCCTTAGAGTAACAGCACTAATTAAAAGGGACAGTGTATATCAGGAGGTGGGACCCAGACCTTGTGTGGTCTGGTGCTATATCACGAAACAGTCACACTAAAAAACGTAGAAAATCTCCTTTTTTCAGTTCTGTTATCACATGCAGTAAAGAAAGGATTTCTCATTGCTTTGTAACTCCAGTATCAATCAAATATTGCCTTTCAAATGTGGATCTCTGTATGTGCACAATTTGCATCAAGCTTCAGGCAAAACTTCCCGATCTACCACTACAACCACCAGCATTTCCCCTTTCCCAAGCGCTCCTGGCATAGCAGGAAGCATTTGTTTTGGAACCTCCTTGCTTTTAGTAGCAGGAAGCTAACGAACTTTTGCTTCAGAGGCACAATGCTAAGTGGCACCAGACGAGTATCTGGTCCAGATGTGTGGTGTGATGAACACTTTAAAGATTTTACACTGGTTCTGACCCTTTTACATTGGCAAAAATACCATAATGCTGCAAAACACAGGGAAATCCCAGTATCTGATGGGGAACAAGATATACAGTTTTTTATCTGGAATATCTCAAAGCCTGATAGAGGTATGCACTTAGGTTGTAAGGAAGCTCAAAAGAATATTACTGAATTATTGAGCATCTTCCCAACCCAGGAGTAGGCTCCAGGAAGGTCTGCACAACAGCATGAAAGGACGAGAGATGTGCTGGGGTCAAACACATTTAAATAGGTGCTGCATGTTTCTGACCTGGATGAGGTGGTGCTTGCTATTCCTCAGGTGCAGTAAATAACAGCACCTACTGCATCTTTATTTACATCCTTACTGTCTGGAAAGCACCTTGTGAGGTGCATCACTCTTGTCCCTTGGGGATGCCCACCTTGCGATGTGTCTCCTGATCACAGGGCCCATACCTGCAACCTGGGCAGCGGACCAGAGCCTTGCTTTCACTTAGGTAAAATCGAGCATGCTGAGCAGAAACTGCTCTCCCTTCAGTGTCTCGTCTCAATGACAGCAGCTGCAATGATCAACCACTGCAACGCCTGCCCGCACAAAGAGAAGATCAAACACACGAGAGCCTTTGGTTAGCTGAGAAGAATAAAGTAAAATGTATGTATATGTAGAGTTTTCACCTCCTAAGTTTGAAAAGAAGTGTGCATTCTTATTAAAGATGGATTATGTGAGGTGACACAACCTAAATTGACTATCCTGCTGGTATGGAAACTGTGCAGGGCCTTTCTGCATCCAGAAATGCAAGGTTTCAGCAGCCTCCAATAAGGAATGGAAAAACAGATGTAAAGAAGTAAGCTAAGCCCATGACATCTATTTGGTTCCAAGAACCACTCAGCCAGTCTTAGGGTGCAGGTTAACTATATAACCATCATAATGTACAACAGCCCTCAATGAAAAAGACATATATTTCACCTGCTTACAAGTGTGAGAGCCAGGTGTTTGATTTTCTTCCTTTCCTTTTTTTTTTTTTCCTAACTACTTTTCACAGATAATGTGACTTCTGTAAAGTTCTCTCTGGCAAACACTTGCTGATAAGTATAAGGGTAAGGGAGACATCTTCACGCAGCTTTTAGTCTACTGCTGAGTCCATCACAGTGCTTTGGGGACCAAGGCCAAATGCTGGTTTATATGCACTGAATCTCATAAAATTTATCCAAATTTCATAAAAGTAAAGGACAGCTGAATTTTTCATCCTCTTTAAACTTGTTTCACTAATTTTCTAATGCTTTGTACTCTACTGTTTTCAAGAATATTGCTGAGGGAAATGGCTACAGACTACATGTAGGAGTTGACTTGGCAGGCAATATACAGATCTATTTCATGTAATTATAAGGTTGGAAAAAACAAAACCATTGTCTCTGGAAAACTACTTTAACTTTTTTTCTCTTTGTAACAAGATTTGTATTTGCTCAATAATCTAAAATGTCCCAAATTCTTGAAAATGGCTATTACGGGAATAATTAACATAATTTTGCCTAAGTCTACTGTAAAAACATGATACGAGTTCTATAAAGTGACAGGAGCAAATTAAAAACATATGGAGCTCTTCATATCACATTTGGTCATTCTTTTTTGGCTCCCCTTAGACTGGGTCTCACTGGGAACTGAATATGCCGTAAACCAGCATAAGTTATAGAAGTCCTAACATGCTTCTAATTTATGATCGTTGTCATGGGCTGTCATGCCAAGATCCCCAGAGCACAATGAATTCCACTTCTCAGCTTGCTGTTATCACTGATAGTTCAGTATCAGCAGTATTAGGAGAAAAAAGAAGGTATTCTATAACACTATGCGAATCTGAATTTAAGTATAATTCAGGTGTTACTTACCTTCCAAATTCAGAGCTACCACTGCTGTATCATCCTCTAATCCTTCAATCACCTCGCACTTATATCTCCCATAATCTTCTAGCATTATATTTGTGATTATAAGAGAGGCATCATTTTCACTGCTTTCCCTCAGAAACACTCTGCCCTGGTATTTTCCGTAGCTCTTTCTGTGGTGTCCCATTGCAACAAAGACGTCCACTTCTTTGAGGTAATCTGAGGTGAGTTTGGTCCACTTGACCCGGATTTTGTGGGTTCCTGAGCCAGCTGTTGATGTGTGTTCATGGTAAAATTTACATGGCAGTGTGACATTGCCACCCCGGTGTGAGAAGATTTTAGCTTGCTCTGCTACCACAAGTAGACGGGGTCCATTTTCTGCTACGATTCAAGGAGAAAAACAAAAACAAGAATTAGTCCTCAATCTGCCTTTTACAGAATGGATATGATCAATGCCATAACAACCATGAGCTATATTACATGTTAGGTCTACCGGATCGCCTCTCTGCAATAATTTTGTACCTATGCAGTAGTAGGGTATATAAAACAGTTATATATATAATTATTTACTTAGCTGCCAGTACATCTGTGTGTGTACACTCCCAGACAAGCAGAGAGGCAAACTGGTTTGCAGCATTGCCCCTCCATACAGGCAGAGGCCCTCCTATATACTCCATAGTCATGAATATAGAGTTGTATAAATATATTTATGGAGTTGTATAGCTGGTGGATGAATAAAAGGTTCCACACAAACATCCCATATTTCCCTGTGGGTTGTTCAAGAGCTGTCTATCAATGCTGCATTTTCTTTCATAATTCAATTTTTATGTATGGACTAAGCGTATTCTGGCAGCAGCATACAACGCCCCTCCTGATCTAGGTTGCAGTGAATCACCCTCACAAAACAGAAAAACCATTACTGTATCAAATAGCACTATTTATATTGACATGAAAACTATCAGCATAATTCTAAAATGTCTAATTTTCTATTTGTATTTTATTCTAATTTTTGAGTTTGAATCCTTCTTCTGACATACTTCCACCAAAGTAAGGAAGTCCAATTTATCTTCACGTGTAAAATCCGGTCCTCTCCTGCCCACTTTCCTCATCATCTCAATGTGGTTTTTCCTCATCTTTTTTTTCTTCAAGCTCATCACTATTTTATCTTTCATATTTTGATCTCAAGTTTCACACAGAGCCATATTTAACTGTCTGTCTCCTCTCCTCCTCACCCTCACCCCAGACTCCCTACTCTCTTTTCCCTCTAGTAGATCACTATGGCTGATGTTGCTCTATGAAATCATTATGTTGAGGATCATCAGCCTGAGCAGGTGCTCGCTTCCAACCTTAAGTCTCTGGTGCTTCTTTGACAGGCTGTGCTGCCTAGGGAAAACTCTGGAAAACACAGATTTCATGGTGGCAGTCATCAGATATACCCAAAAAAGAGAATATTTCCTCCTTTCAGTACCTCTTGCCTTTCCTCTCATGCGTGGTTTGCAAAATTGATTTAGCAAGCTCAGCGCTTCTGTAGATATTGCTGTCCTCTATCACCGAGACACCGACCGAAACTAGCAATGAATCACCAGCTCTCTGCTCTCTGGGAAAGAATTACCGACCTCACTCTACATAGCAGATTGTGAAGAAAGACTTTGTAATTCCCTGTGTGTGTTCAGCAAGTCAATGTAACTGCCTAGAAATGCGATTCCCCACTGTAAGGTTCAGTCTGGCTCTCTCTAACTTCAGCCAAAGCCAAGGCTAAGTTCCCAAACGCAGAGGCTGATGAGAAGCTGGCCCTATGAAGGTTAGCAGTGATTTTTGTGCTGGGGATGAATCTGGATTGATAAAACTAAACCGCAGAAATGCCTGCAAAAATGTCATCAGCCAGAGAGAGGTGTGGATGACTGAAGGAGAGAAGGACTGGGATGCAGATGGGCTGACAGACGAGGTTTCAGTGACGAGCACACCAGGGAGTATCCCACCCGGCTGCCTGTCTGTTCACAGCACTGCAAGAACCTATGGTGTGTCCGCAGCCATGGGAGGTACAGGGACACATTAGGATCTGTATCTCATAAATGTCTCCAGACAGTCCCAGGCTTCTGAGTCTTGTTGACAGGTCTGCTGGCTAAATGATAGATTCACCTAAACTGCAGTTTCAGCTTGACTTCATTATCTGTCCATGCTGGCTACACAAAGCAGCAGAAGAAATCCCAGGGTATGCAGCATTTTATGATTATGCAAACACGTTCGGGGTGGTAACTGCAGAGACAAGCTCTCTGAGTGCAAATGTGTATCTGCTTAAGAAAAACAGGTATCCAAAATGTGTAGATCTTTGTCAGGAGGTGCTGTGTCAAGAGCATCGCTATTACCTGCACAGGACAGACTAGCTGGGGCACCAGCTTCCTCAGGAATGAAAAAGCTTGAGTGCTGCAAGTTGTTTAACCAGGATGAGAGACCTTCCCACCTAATGAGAAATCATTACTGCAGAGCAGATCACCTGCAGACCCATATAACTGGTTTTCTTTTTCACTGCCCTTCTTCTCAGAGGTGAGCAGAGGCTCAGGGCTGCTCCGATAACCCATTGTTCCCTTTTTAGAGGAGAGCATCCAAGGACAGAGGTGATCTGAGGCAAGGCACCATGGAAAGTGTTGCTAACACCGTTTCCACAGGATGAGGAGAAGGAGGGAAGTGAAGGCAGCCAGGATGGTCTGTCTGCGAATTTCCCATTCCTTCAGGGACAAAGACTTTCCACAGATTTCTGTCCACCTTGGGAGGAGAAATGTTATGCTTTGGGGTGGTTATTACTGAGAAATCTGAATCAGAGCTCAACTATGTTGAGTTTTTAATACTGAAATAGTCCAGTTAATAAATATTCGGAGAACGGACTGAGGCAGGAGGGAGAGTCTGACTCAGGCTGCTAAGGCTCCTTCTTTCTAATAACAGCTAGTCTGTGCCAGCAAGGCCTGGGGACTTGCCCGGAGCACTGTCACCTCTGACTCCAGCGTTAGCATCCTAATTGCGGCGGTGTACCTCTCTCCTGGCTGCCTCCCACCTCCTCTGGCCCTTCGCAGCAGCAATTACCTGAGCTTATATCTCAGTAAGTGTAAAGAACAGAGAGGACAGCAACTTGGGAAAGGAAAGAAAAGCATGGCTTTTCTCAGCCTGGAACTTCTCCTACATCCCTGGAGGTTCAAAGGGAGATGCAAAGCTTGAAATATGCCTCCACCCTCAAGTCTTCTAAAAGCCACTTCTTTTTTACAGAAAAAGAGGTGATATGCCCTTCTCTCTGCCAAGACAGTGGGGCAGAAAATTACATTGCTGCTGCTTGCAGATCTAGGAGAGGAGGAAGGAAGAATCTCTGGCTTTCAAGGAAAAGCAGATGCCAGACTCAGGGATGCTGCATAGTTTCCTTTTGGGCTAGAAGACGTACAGAAGACACGCAGGCACCAGGGATTTGGGATTAAAAATGAGATGACTGGGGCTTGGCAAGAGGCCAAGAGGTCTTTATTATCCAGCAGCCAGCGAGAACCAGGGCCAAATTCACCTAACTGCTTATTTTTGGGGGCATGGCAAAACAAATGGTCTTGGTTTTTCTGGAGTCAACAGAGGAGTTAAAAAAAACCCAAAGCACAACAAATGAAAAAATACCCAAACACAGAGGAAACCAGAATACCTTCATTTACCACGTTTAGCACATTCGATGCTGCATTCTAGCTTACTGCTGTGAAAGTCAGCTTAAATGAGGAATGAATCCTGCTTCCTAGGTTACCTTAACACAACGTACAATGATTTGTTGTGAAACAGTGATCTGATCAAGGAAGATGGGGTAAACACTGTTTTAAAGACTTGTCAGAGTGGCTTCGTAGCTGCTTTCCTCATGGGGTTTCTAACAAGGCTCCTCCTTCTGAATAAAACTATCTTTGTATCTAAATAGCAGAATACCTAGAAGATGAGTGCAAGAAGGGAAAAGATGGGACATGCAAGTATTATCACAGAGTCCAGTACATTACTTGATGAAGATAATACTTTTTTTTCCCCAGAACTACTTTCTTCCGAAGTACCATCAGAGAATTTGTAAGGTGAATGGCCAAACAACTATAAACTCTGCAAACCCCATATTATCCCTCGCTAAACAGTTGTCTGCAACAGGACAGTTTGGATCCTTGCTGGAGACAAGACAGACCACATGCACGGCCAGTCAAGAACTTCAGAGAGTGGACAAATGGTGAGGAATGCGCTGGGCAACCCCTATCTGCTCTTTCTGTTGGGAATAGAGCCTGGTTATTGGCTCTGGTCTCAGCTCCAAGGTCAGAAATGAGATGAGAGAGGTTTGTTAGATGGAGTTTTCATCCTTCCAGCCATATTTTGCCTTGTAAGACAGGCAGCACTTTAGTTGTTAGTAAAGAATCAGGTACCACAGGTCACTAATTTGCCATATTTTTTCCACTCTGCTTCCCTGCTATTGATTCTGCCAGGCTGTGGCCTTTTGTTAATCCTCTTGGTTCAATCAGATGGATGACAAAGGCAACATAATGCAAAAACAGCGAAGACAGCTAAAAATGAGTTTGTCTGTCTTGTAGAAGCTGTTCAGCTGCGTGGGATAACACACAAATCTGGGAGCTGCTCTTCCAAGCTGTAGG